CTTATAAAATACTTAGATTCATATAAAGATGTAAAGTACCATTTAATTTGTGTTCAGGAAACATGGTTCAATGATGATAGAATATTGCAAATCCCTGAATATACATGTTTTATTAGAAACAGGGAAAATCAATCTAAAGGAGGATGTGCCATTTATGTACATGATTCCATCAACTATGAGTATCCTGTCAATGACGAAGAATTCGAAATACAACATATTAAAGTTCATGTTGCTGGATCAAAAATCTCCATAATCAATTTCTATAACCCTTGCAAAAAATTAAACGAGATTGTTTTGAGCAGGATGATTAACAAACTAGAATACAATCTATTCCTTATAGTTGGGGATTTCAACTCACATAATCCTGTGTGGGGTAGTGCAAAGATAGACCAAAATGGGCACACAATTGAAAATTTCACACATGACAATAACTTTATAATTTTAAACGACGGAAGAGGAACCAGAATAGATCCACGCACTGGGAAAATGTCATGTTTGGATCTTAGCATCACCTCCCCCAAACTATCTTGCCTATGCTCGTGGGAAGTTTTGCGGCACACCCTTGGTAGTGACCATTTTCCCATCTCCACCCAGATATTATTGGACCGAGCAGGGAAAGTAAACAGCAACAGCGAGAAGATAAAATGAGGAAACAACTTGGTCTTTTAAAAATTTTGATTGGAACACTTTTGCCGAAAAATGTGAACATAAAATTGAACATAGTGGCAACTATTCCGACCCTACGAAAATGTATAAATGTTTTATGAAAAGTTTGTCAGAGACTATTAAAGAAATAATGCCCCAGAGGGGAAAGAAAAAACATGACCCTGTACCTTGGTGGACAAAAGACTGTACACAAAGTATCAAAGAAAGAAACAGGGCTAATAATAGATTAAAAAGACACATTTCAATAGAAAATCTAAATACATATTTGAAGAAAAAATCAGAGGTACAAAAAAACTCTACGCCAAGCAGAACGAAATTACTGGCAAGAATTTTGCTCAAGACTCAACCGCTTTGTACCAGAATCAGCGGTATGGTCTACCATTAAACGGTTAAAGGGGGTATCTGTCAAAAAAACAAAAACATGTCAGTCCTGATAGAAAATGAAAAAGAAATCACATGTAACAGTGAAAAGACTGAGGCTTTCTCTAAGTTCTTCCAATCAATTAGTAATGTTAAAGAATGTCCAGAAATAAAAGAAAACAAAAATGTTGAGCAACAAGTCACGAAATCACTGAAGCGGGGAATGGAGCATATCTTGAATGAACCATTCACTCTTTTTGAATTGCAAAAAACTCTAAACACATGTAAACAATCAGCTCCTGGAAAAGACAAGATCCCTTATCAGGTTTACCAAAAACTTCCTCAGAAAGCAAAACAATATATGCTAAAGGTCATGAACTTGATATGGGATACGGGTAGCATACCTCCCAGTCTGAAACACTCTATCCTAATACCTGTGTTAAAACAGAATAAAGACCCCCGAAAGGTATCGTCGTACCGACCCATAGCACTTTCCTCATGTTTTGCCAAGATACTAGAACGGATTGTGAAGAATAGACTCCAATGGTATGTAGAAAAGAACAATATACTTCCTCCCCTCATGACTGGCTTTCGTAGTAAACGTGGGGTCACGGATAACATTGTACTTTTAGAGAATGCCATCCAAAGAAGCATTAATGTTGGTGAATATACTTTAGCAATCTTTCTCGATATTGAAAAGGCATATGATAGACTTTGTATCAAAGGCCTTATTTACAAACTATCAGTACATGGTATTACAGGTAATATGCTCGAGTTTCTCTATAACTATCTGAAAGAGCGGACTTTCCAAGTAAAGATTGGTAAAGAAGAATCAAAATTATATGAAATGTACAACAGCCTCCCCCAGGGGAGTGTCTTAAGTCCTACATTGTATAATATCATGATGAATGATATTCCAACAGATGAATTAATCACCACATCTATTTATGCTGATGACTGTGTCATCTGGATGTCAGGTAATAACATAGAAATTATTTCAAACAGAATACAGTGCTATCTGAACACATTGAGTGAATGGTTTACTAAATGGGGCTTTCGCCTTTCACAGAGTAAATCCTTTCCAGTGTTATTTACTAAAAACAATAAAGCAAAATACCCAGAACTGAAATTAAACAACGACGCACTTTTATTCCAATCAAAGAAGCATTTCCTAGGACTTACATGTATATTTGACAAAAGACTTTCATGGAAGACGCACATACATGTAGATGCCGTAGTCCTTAGATGTAAAAAGAAACTGAACATTCTTAGGTGCCTTACTGGGACTACATGGGGAAGCTCCTCGAAATCCCTGCTAATGGTATATAGAGCATTGATAAGATCGTTATTAGATTTTGGTTGTGAAGCCTATGACAGTGCGGCTCAAAGTATAAAGAAATCACTTGACTCCATTCAATATCAAGCCTTGAGAATTTGTGCGGGAGCTCTTCCTCTTACATCATTAGATTCACTACAAGTTGAACTAGGTGAAATGCCCTTAGACTTAAGAAGACAGATGCTGGCGGACAGATTCAGACAAAAGATTGAAATGCATCGAGATCACCCTGTCATATTAAACGTTAAGCCCAGCTGGCAAATGGAACTTTTGAAGCTCCAAAAGAATAACAAGCCATTTGGATGCAGAACAGAACTAATGAAACATTGTACTATCGAACCTTACACTATACCTAGTTTCCCCCCTTGGAAAATTAATGCTCCAAAAGTGTCGATAGAATTAAGCGAAATAGTGAACAAACATGAAAACCCATCTTATTTACGTCAACGCAGTTTAGAATTGATCAGTACCAAATGGCCAATACAACTACACATCTATACAGATGGGTCAAAGGTTCCAAGTTTTGGAATAAGTTCTGCTTCTTTTTATGTACCAGCATTCTCCTTTCAACAAGCCAAACGATTGGCGGATCACACCTCATCTTTCAGAGCCGAATTGGCTGCAATTGTCCTTGCGCTTAATTGGCTAGAGAACATTAATGTGTATGTTGGCATTGTTATTTTTTGTGATTCCGTAAGCGCCCTGCTCGCCATAAAGGATGAAAAAGATATTACATTTGTAACTGAAATTATTACATTAAGTACAAAATTATCGTATCAAGGAAAACACATACACTTAGAATGGATTCCTAGCCATTGTGGTGTACACGGAAATGAAATGGCAGATTTTTATGCAAAATCTGCTTTACAAAATAACATTGAAATTTGTAATAAATTATCCTTTTCTGAAATAAAGAGTATTATTACCAGCAAGTATATAAAACTCTGGCAAGACAGATGGAATAATTCTGATAGATCTCTTAGACATATACTGCCTACAGTAAATCAACCATATGAATGTAAGTTGAACAGATTTGAAGAAAGTATTCTCCATAGATTAAGAATAGGAGTGATAGGTTTGAACTTAGATCTCTTCAGATTGAATATACACTCGACAGGCCATTGCAATAACTGCATAGGACGTACTGAAACTGTAAACCACTTTCTCACTGAATGCCCAAAGTACATAATAGAAAGAGCTATGTTGCTCGTAGAAACTGATTTATCACATCCACAGGAAATCATGACACTACTTAAACTTTCAGAAATAGTTAAACAAAAAGCAATAGTTTGCTTCGTTTTAAGAACAAAGCGGCTGTATCAAAACAATTAAATTGTTGTTGAGGTTTTTTTCTTTCTTCTTATCTTCTCTTTTCCTTTTTCTTGCACCAATAAAGCCCACAATACTTGTAACTAATTTGACCATTTACTTTTTCTAACAATTTGGTGATCACCTCCAACATCACATGCTAGCTGGCACCCTCTCACCTATGCCGGAGTGACCTAGGTTAAAACCGAAAGTCTGCGAAATATACCTCAAAGACTGGTAAGATGGCATTTTGAAAAGGGTGGGGGTAAGTGCGAAGTACACATGTGCATACGTGAGGTGATATTTGAACGCGCACGTGCGCGTAAACACAAGTACGTACGTTTAGTTAATAGGCGTTTTTCATTCGCAACTTGCTAGGCCGTCGTCTCTTTCCAAAATTATTAATTTATTGAATTTTCTCTCTAAAAAAGTTATAGAGTCTAAAAAGAAAAAAAGAGGAAGGAAAGAGGATGGAAAGAGAAAGAATCCTAAAAATAGTCATTTATGACATGAAATTGTACATATATGTATATATATATAAATAATTCATAAAATAGTGTGTGGCAAAAATAGTCAACTGTGACTGATTGCCAAACAAAAACAAATCAAGAAGAAGAAGAAGAAGACGGCAGCGAGAGTTTAACACGGCTTGCAAGATTTTCAACATGGATGTCGATTTTGACCCATAATTTCCTTAAAAGGGACAAAACGGATTATTTCAATCAAGTTAGTAAGTGGAACCGATGTATTATAGCCTAGGCCTAATGTAAAATTGGATATGCACGAGGTAAAATGACATTTTGGGGGATTTTGGGGGCATAACGATACGGCCGTGGCAAGTTTGTTCATGTTTGTGGGAGGGGCCTAACGGCTAAAATCTAGCCGTGATATCTTCAACATAGGCTGGCATAGGCGATCGTTCAGTCTCTATAACCGGAGGTCTAGTGGAGCCAGACGTAGTCTCAGTGGAACAACCGACGGTATAGAGACTGAAGCTTTCGGTCTAGTAGACTAGTAGTAGTAGACCCTATTCTAATAAACTTGGTTACTTGGTACATGCACAATGGCATCAAAATAAGTTTAAAGGATTTTAGACAGAAAGGTATAGGTAGGAACTAAAATATCATTCACAACACTATAGTCCCACGATGAGATGATCGAGTCAACAACAGTCAACACACAACACAACACATCAGTCACAGTAACTCAAGTCCAGGGAGCTTCGACCCCATGCCGAAGGCTTCGGCGTCGGAGCTCCCTGGAGTTACAGTCACAGCTAACAAGTTATGCAACAATTTTAGCAAGTCATCATTCATACTCATAGACCTACCTTCATTCCCAAGATTTCTCGGTAGAACTTGGCTGTAGCCGTACGATCTGCCACTTTGAACACGAAATGCAAAGCTCTTCGACCGCTCATCTTGGTATCCTGTCTCAAATTTTCCGGCAGACTAAAGAAACTGGCTTCGTTTGGCCAGGGAGAAGGAAGATGACTATTTTCTCGATACAACACTTCGGAAATCCAATGAACAATCACCCTTTTGTAGCCCGTTCGCGATCTGCATGTAATATGCTCAGTCTAATTTTTCCCCACGTGAGTTCCAGTCGACCCGCCCCCCAGTATGAACTCATTTGCATACAGCCAATCAGAGCTCATCTCGTCAATAACAAGCTGTGCAACGGTATGTGCAACATGCAAAATGGCGACCTCCGATTGCCACTCGAATATTGTATTGTGTTCTCATTCAGACTCAAAGTCAGAGGATTCTGAACATATAGACCTAGGCCTACGCTGGTTAGAGGTAAGTTAAAATTATAGCAATCAAAGATAGGAATAAGCCACTGCACTGCACTGGTCAATGAGTGTGTACACATACTTGCGACTTGCGTGTAAACAGCAGGCGGGTACGCGTAGACCGTAGTAGTACTAGACTCTAGTAGTAGGGTATATAATATAGGAGTAGTTTAGGGGGCGGGGGGGGGGGGGGGGGGGGGGGCGGTCGAAATGCCGCCCCCCCCCCCAACAACAAAAACAAAGAGAAAGAAGAAAGGAAGAGGACGTAGGAAGAAAAAGGCGAAAAAGGCGAAAAAGGCGCATCTTGGACTGGATATTTGCAGTGATGTCGTTGATGTACAGCAAAAAGAGGGCTAGTCTGATCACTGAACCTTGTGGTACCCCAGAGGTAACAGGCATCCAAGATGACCGGGAGCCCTTGACAACAACTGCTTGCTGCCTGTTGGAAAGTAGCGACATAGTCCAATGTAATGTGTCTCCTCTTATGCCATAATGCTCGAGCTTGGTCTGCAAGTGGCGATGAGGTACTCGGTCGAAAGCTTTCTGGAAGTCAAGGAAGATGACATCTGTTTGGCCTCTGCATTGTAAGGTGTGTGCCCAATCCTGGGTAGCAGAGATGAGTTGTGTGGTGGTGGAAAGTTTCTGCCGAAATCCATGTTGGTCATCTACCAGGATGTTGTTGGCAGCTACATGTTTCGAGATATGGCTGAGCACTATGTGTTCCATTAGCTTGCTGCAGATGCAGGTCAAGCAAATAGGTCTGTAATTTCCTGGATCACACTTATCACCGGACTTGTGGATGGGTGTTACCAATGCATGCTGCCATTCAGCTGGAACAGTGCCAGAGTTGTAGCTCTGCTGAAAAAGGAATCCTAAGGCAGGAGCAATCTCGTCAGCTACAAGCTTGAGGAGTTTAGGTGGAAGTTCGTCTGGCCCACAAGCTTTGGATGGGTTGAGATTTGACAGCTGCTTTGCCACACCAGGACGATGAATGAATGTAGCTAGTCGCTGCCCGGCAAGCAGTAGATGCAGGTTCAAGTCCCGGTGGTTCCAAGATTTTTTCTGACTTGTTTTTCAATACAGATCGATCAATCGATTTTATTTACTGGGTGTAAGCCACAAATATGTTTAAATAAGATCTCAATATGTAGTTTATAATAATAATTCCTCCAATTTTTCTTCTATTACACACGGCATACCACAAGGTTCTATCCTATGTCCTCTACTGTTTTTAATTTACATTAATTATCTTACACATTCTTTTAAAAACAACATTGTTACTATTATTTGTGACAAGTTCATAAGCACAAATCGGCGCCTTTCAACTGCACTTCGCTGTTAAATGAAAGTTCTTTCCCGCGTGGGTTTTCGGCAACAAAAAAAAAAGAAAAAAAAAAATAGGGTTTGTCTTATACACAGACATTTAATGTAACCAGTGTGTCACTTTAAAACCTGCGCATGCCAGGAGGTCGGCCAGATGGCTATACTACACAATTAACGTATTGCATTTAGAGATGTTGACTGAAGTTAGGAACCAAAAATAATGAAGCGCACTAAAGTATAGGATATAACCCTATTGTTTATATCAGCTTATGAAATTACTTTCAAAAATTATTTCTTAGCACTAATCATCATGCTTTACTTTTATTTTATTTTTTACTTCTTTTATTGCAGGACTTCTTACCTGAGAACTATGAACATCACATTTGTAATATAGAAATTGTCGAGAAAGAAGTAAAGCTAGTAACATTGAGATTGGCTGTTTCGACCGAAGAAGGGGCTAAAGAATGGCTGGAGTCTATGCAGAAGTCATCTCTAGCAACTTTTCGAGTGGAAAGAACTTATCCTACCTCTGTTGAAAGAGTTTTGTACAAGGTATGTAGCTGTAGGCATATCACTATTAAACAGTACCACTGTTGTCACACATTTGACATTTTTCATTTCATTTATTTCATTCTCCATAAAAAAACAACATTAAAACATACAAACATGATATACAGATAAAAGATTGATTACAAGAAAAATACAAAGGGAAGGAGCAAAATTTTTTAATGGGAATGTGGGGTTAACAAAAAGGTCAATTAGCCTTATGAATGTCAACCCCTGTTGAGAAGAGAGAAAAAGGAAAAGAAAAGCAGAGAAAACCTGAACACAAATACAAAAGGAAAAAAAAAAGAGGGAAGGAGAAGGGAAGAGGAGGGGGAATACATTACAAAGTGCATTAACTGAAACGTGACATTTATTTTGAGATTGAAGACAATGTTTGATTAGATTGAAGAAAAGGTTTTCCGTGTATGCCTACTATGGTACTGTGCAATATTTAAGTTTCATCAGAATTTCTTACTCTTAGTATATTTATGTAGTTTTAATCATAATACTAATAATAATACTACTAATAATAATTATAGTAATAATAATAATGATACTTATAATAATATATATATGTAACTTATATTGCACCAAATCCACTTTGTAGGGTGCTCAATGTGCTTAAACAGAAATGTTAAGGTTTTTCGTTTGAAAAAGTCAGATGTCATTATGTTTTGATGTCTTTGGGAAGGCTATTCCAGAGGTTAGGGCATTAAAATTTGTCCTTGTATGTTCTAAGTTTAAATTCTTTCAGCCCTGATCCAATTTAAAAACACTGAAATTTGTTCATGCATGTTTTACATTCTCACTTCAGACTGAATTTCGCTGCCAACATAACACGAAACCAAGATCTACAACAGCTGACCAACGCAAGGGGTCTAAGAACACAAATTGTCCAGCAGGCCTGAGCATTGTTGTAAAAGTCAGCACCTTTCAAGCGTCAGATGGGAAAAAGAGAAAGTGCAGGTAATTGAATTTTGCATCCTTTTTGCATGGGGTACAACTGTACTGATTTGTTTGAAATTTTTTGTACCAGAATTATTTTTCTCTACTTTAATCTCTACTTTCTTTGGACAGGGTGTCCCAGATGAAATCTATACACTTCTGTGTTTTTGGTAGAGTTATATTGGTATGCTAGATTAGGCATGATTTTGGCCTGGAGGTATTGCATCAGAGATTAGATGCAGTGCGTTCAGGTCAATTGTCGAATTTACAAAACACAATTACATTCATATGCTGCAGCCTGCGACATCCATGCTTGCGCTCTCTCTCTCTTTGTCTTTCTCTCTGTCTCTGCCGAAATCAGTCTTCCGTACGTGTGTGCTCAAAATGTTAAAATTTGCTTTTTCTCTATTTTAGAGCGGATTTTGTTTCTATTTGTTTTATCTGATAGGGCTTGATGGGGGCTTCCAAACTCCGTACAGAATTTTGAAATTCATTAATTATGCAAATTTATTCAAAATCGATGAAAAATTCATTATTACTATAGCAAAATATATCTTCCAAACTTCTGTACAGAATTTTGAAATTCATTAACTATGCAAATTTATTCAAAATCGATGAAAAATTCATTATTATCACAAAATATATAAATTTAATAATTAATTTCTTGTATTTATCTAGAAGGATCTGTTGGAAATTACTAACAAAATTAAAGCCATTCCACAGATCTACACTTCCGGTGGGGACATAATATATGCATAATTTACTAATTCACTTGTCTTTTTAGGTCTTCTGATCCCCATATGCCTGCTCATCCGATGGTTGTCAAATTCAAGCGCACCCATAACCACCCTCTCAAGGCTGCAGATGCTTTGAGGCATAGGGATGTGAGTCAAGAGGTCAAGGAGAAGTTCCTGGATTTGTTCAGCAAGGGTTACACTCCTTCAAAAGCACTGGAACTGCACAAATACGATCTTCGACTCCTACACAATGACAACTACACTTTCATCAGTGCCGATAGATCCATCATACCTGACTTGCAGTACACTTACAGGTTAGTAGATTACATATTGAAGGGGATGTTTTGTTCAAAATCATGTGTTCAATGTGTGATCTAATCTATCCATTTTGATACAAGTTTATCGTTGCAATATATCTTAGGCCAATTAGAAAAATAGGAAGGAGGAGGCCCCCCTTTTTTTTTTCTTCCAAAATGGCCGCTCTAAATGGCTGCTTGTGCATTTTCCCTGACAGTCAGGATATTTTTTTAAGATGGCTGCCGGCACTTTTTTTATTTTTAAAATCAGAAATATATCATTTTAGCAGTGTGTTTTTCATGTTTTTCTTCTCAAAAGAAAAAATAGAGGGGGCGGCCCCCCAAAGGAAGCAGGCGGGGATGCTAAACATGTTTTTTAAAAAAAAAATGTTTTGACAGAAATAATCCTGCACACTGCAGTCACTAAGTTGGTTTTCTCATACATGTAGATCACAATGGCAGCCATGATTTGAAAATGAACGGTCCTTTTTCTTCTGAATGTGCGAGTTGTTCATAGGAACTTTGGTACATTAGTCGGTGATGACTCATTTGCAAGACACGTAGGTTCAGGTTTGACATTACGGAAACCAGAGTTCTCTCAAGAAAATATATTACATTTGTTGAAAATGCTAAAGCCCCAGTCCCATATAAAGCCGGACCAGCACGGACGAGCACGGACCACTCCGGACCATCCCGGACCATGGTCTGGGGTGATCCGGGATGGTCCGGGATGTTTTGTTCAAAAAAGTGTGATGCTTTTAAGCTACAGTCCCGTATACGTCCCGGACCGTCCCGGACCATCCCGGACCCCATCCGGGGTGATCCGGGATTCGGTCCGTGTTGACACCGTGTTGGCACCGGGGTGGTCCTGGATGGTCCTGGATGGTCCTCGATGGTCCTGGGCGGTCAATAACTCACTCCCGGACTGCCACGGATCAACACGGACCGCCCCGGCGCCACTACGGATGACCCCGGACCCAGCACGGTGGCTACACGGATCACCCCGGATCAAACTATTGTTCCCGGACCGTCCCGGACCACCCCGGCAGTTTTTGACCGTCAAAAACATCCGGGGTCGACTCCCGGACCGCCCAGGACCATCCAGGACCATCCAGGACCATCCAGGACCACCCCGGTGCCAACACGGTGTCAACACGGACCGAATCCCGGATCACCCCGGATGGGGTCCGGGATGGTCCGGGACGGTCCGGGACGTATATGGGACTGTAGCTTAAAGAATGAATACCTTGAATATCTTGAAAAATTTACTTTGCAAAACCTTTATACTGGGTAGTAAAATTGTAACCTCATAAACTTTGTACAAAAACCTGAAAATATATGTTCGGTGGTAAAAAAAGGTGACAGGCAAAGGTCCTCTTTTGTGATCCCTTGTGAAGTGTGTTCCTATATATTTTCTATCTGTGGCACTGATATTAATTAGTTCCTTTTCCTTCTCTTCAGGTTATACTACCAGACATTAAAAAAGGAGTATCGTGAAGCTGAGGGAGAATACATCTTTAAGGAGTTGGAGATTAAAATCGAGGAAGGATCACTCGATGATCACATCAGATTGTCAAAATCATGTGCTGAAGAAAATGGAAGTGACCCGATAATCACTGAGCTAAACAAAGCATTTCTTGCTGTACAACAAAGTTACATTAGAGACAAAGAATTCTTTGAAGGACCGGTGACAGAATTCACCAAGAAACTTGATGAACTAACTTCTGGAACGGATACTGCGCTGGCTTCGGCGCTTCACTGCTTTGGCCGGCACTCTGGGGAGGCACATGCTCCATGACGAAAACTCGTCGTTTAAAATTGAAACCCCCATTTGACTTTCACTACTCCTAGAGCTAAGCCTAAAGTAAACACTAGCGCTATACAATGTAATCCCCCTGCCGAGACCTTGACGGGGTGATAGAGAGGGATAGAGGAAGGGAGAAAGAGTGCTAATTTTCACAATTAAAATTGTTGTTATATCACCAATTCTGGGTCATTTTGCTTCGTTCGAACTTTCATTTTGGTCTTCATCAAAATTATTAGTGACTTAATTTTTTGGACATGAAAATATCTTAAAACAAGTAAACTATATATTTCCTACATCTCATTTCCTTTCAGGCAGAGCCCCAGTAAGAGTTTGTTTACACTAGTGTTACGTAAGATGATGAAGAGTCCAGCTGCAATCTGATATCATAATCTCTCACGCAGAGCCTCAAGGCTCTTTCAAAGTTTTAACGAGAGAAACGAAAGTGGGGTCGAGATACCCCACCTGATTTACATTGATTCCTGTGTTATAGTGGTGGGGTATAGTGTTAACGAGAGCTTTTCGTAATGCTAGGCAAGAAGAAACATACATCTCAAGTTCAAGTTTATTTATTCAAAACCACACAAGACATGATATAATGTTCTACATAAAAAGAGACTGATAATAGTACATTAATCAACATAAATCAACTTGATAACATCATAAAATGAATGGTTTTAGGACCCCTTTAGAAGCTAAGCTTGTGAGCGGGGCCCAATAGTCATCAAAATACATACATTAACAATATGGCAAGGTGAATAAGAAGAATGTATACAAACGGTGGAATTACTAAGCTACAAAATATGGAACACACAGTACTCACACACAACAATTGAGAATGAGAAATCATTAAGATACAAAGAAAAATTATGTCAGTCTTTCAAGTAGGTATGTTTTAGATAACCTGCTAAACCTAAAGAGTTGTACTATTTTTTTTATATCATTAGGCAAACTGTTCCAGTCTTTAATGCATGAGATATGGAAAGAGGTCAGAGTGACATTTGTTCTTGCAAAATGCTGATGAAAAAGACCCCTGTGATGTGTATTATAATTATGAAATTGTGAGTTCCGACAGAATAAATTTGTTAACATAAAAGTAAATGATATTTGTCAATTCAAAGTTCTTATTTGACAAACCAAGACCTTTGAGAGGACACGGAGACCACATGTCATGGTCTTTCAAAATTTAGTCTCATACACTGGTGGTCAGCAATGTTAAGACACTTCCACCAAGTCAGTCATTTTCTTTTGAGACACTGTAATTATACCTGTCATATTTGTCTTTGTGTCCAAAATTGTGACATTTCTCAGAAATTTGAACAGAAAACAAAGTCCTTGGATGTTGTTTAATAATGTTTTTATTACTTTTGTAAAGAACATCTGTCTTTAACATTGGATGAACATCACGGTTGGTGTCGTATGCAATCGTGTTGCCAAAGCTGTTGGTATTATTTACTGTTTGAGACATTTTCCAAGACATATTTTAGTTATGTTGTATTATGCATTGATTTTCTCCCATGTCAATTATTGTGATATTGCTTGGTCAAACAGTCATGATTATTTCATTACTAAATTATTTGTTTTGCAGAAAAAAGGCATATTAGAATATTTTCTAATTCACCACATAATGCTCATACCTTGCCAATCTTCTCCCAGTCAAATCTCCTAAACGTTTATGACATTAATAGATTGAATCATTGAATATTGCAATATTTATGTTTGTGTTTTCGAGAGGCTTGTTACTATCTCCGATTACATCAAAATTTGTTTTAAATTGTAATACGCGTTTAATATGCTATACCATCTGCCAAAAGTCAGAACTAATATTTCAAAGAATACTATTTATACAAAGGTCCTCATCTTTGGAGCACTATTCCAAACCATCTAAAGAATCAACCTTCTGTAAATAGTTTTAAACGTTCCTTTCGATTGTTTCGGCAACTTGAATATCATATTTGATTTACGACGTATATATTTGTATATGTTTTTGACGGTATTATGTTTTCCTTCTCCCTTCTACTGTTTTCCACCTGCTTTCTTTTTCTTCCTAATGTGCTGCTAATTACGTACTTTCTTTAGGGGTCAACCTTCAACAAGGCTGAATGCTCTTTTTTGTTGACCCCTCATTCAACATAAGTTTGTGCTCTGATGGTTGTAAGACAAGAAATATTTTCGGCCAAATTACGAAATAAACTACCTTCATTTGATATAATTTTATCAGCTGTAAAACGTTATTATGAAATGGAGAAAGATATATATATATATATACCAAACAAATCTCAAAGAGAATAAATTGAAAAAAAAATGGGTTTCACTTTAGTAAATATTTTGAGAGTGTTGGAAATGTGCCAACATGATCATGTATTTTATGTTTGGTATTTAAAAAATATATTTAAACTACTAATTTTTTCAAAAATGTTTTTTATTTATCTGCCACAAAGTTTTCGGTCATTATGATCGTTATCTGTGTTTAAGCCATTATGTATGTAAATTATTTGTATAAATGTATGGATATACTGTATATGATCGAATGTGTTTTGAAAATAAAGAACCCTGTGGAAGGGGGAAAAAAAGAAAAAAAGAAAAAAAAACTGCTTTCTGAATTTTATTGTATTCTTATTATGTGTAATGTTACCCTTCTACATGTACTTATGTATTTCAAATGTTGTATACTCCTGTATGTATTGTATATGTTTTTTTATGAAGAATGGAATAAATACCAATACCACTTATATTGTCAATAAAAAAAAAAAGGCCAAGGCCATACTGATTATTTTCTGAAACCTAATTTATGTCTAAAACAAGCGACATACACTACCAAGAACTTACTAGAAATGACACCTTGGATGAAATAAATATATTTTTGTGTCAATACTGTCACAAGAAATCTTGGTTACCCTAGTTAAACAAAAAGTAAATTGATAGCAACAAGATAAGCTCTGATTGGCTCTGTGCCACCCCCCCGCCCCCAAGAGCCCATTCCTTTACCCCTCGCCCACAACTATCTCTCTCTCTCTCTCTCTTTATCTAGTGAGGTACATGGCAGATTTGTCTGTGTGTGTGTGTATAGGGGGGGGGGGGGGGGGGGGTGGCACAGAGCATACATACTCCTGGAAAAAACAGTAAACCCAAATGTGTCCTCTTTGCCCTTTTTTGCCCCTAATAAAAATGGCCCCTAATAATATGTTGCCATGTTTTTGTCACAGAGATTTTGTTGTTGTTGCTTTATTGTTTCAGCAATAACTAAGGCAAGTCGCATTGTCACATTTGAAATGTAATCCTTTTCCGTTCCTCATTCTCTAATCTTCTTTCAAAGTCTTATGCTTCCTACTCTCTGGTTTCCCTCTCTCTTGTCTCTCTCTCTCTCTCTCTCTCTCTCTCTCTTTCTCCACTCTTGATCTATTCCTTTCTCACTTGCTATGTAACATTATACTGTATGTGGTTGAGACAACAAGAACACAAATTATTAAAATCTGCACAATTACATCCTAATGTATATTCCCCAAAGTTTTTTATTAGACATCTTCAGAAAACAAAACATACAAAAGAAAATTTCATGAGGCAACATTTGACCTAACCTTTTATAACAATTTTCAATTTGATCTCATACTTAAAGGTAAAGACCAGTATTGGAAACGCCCCAATTTCAAAAAATGAAATGGAAGCTCTCATTACCAATCATGTGAAAGAATATGTTTTGACTAATACATGATGATAACAAATTTGCCGGGAAACTGCCTACTAATTCATATATTTGGTAAATTTGTTTCTCTCATGGTCTGTGAGAGATATAGGGTAGTCCCATATACATCTTTCTGTGTATAGTGCTTGTAACTTTACGAAGAATGGGCCAAATTTCTTATCATTTTGATGATTCCAGAACCTCGCAGATGCTAGATGATCAACCTTTTCTGATCGATTCCACAACGTTTCTTTCACAATGCAATCGCATGACCATAACTGGTCTTTACCTTTAATACACAATATACCACTTTAAGCCACATTGAGGCCAGATAAGCACAACAAACAAGTTTGAATACTTTACTGTGTAGCTCTTATATTCTCTCTAATGCTTTATTTTCATACTTCATAACTTTTTAATGCGACAAAAGCAGAAAAAGAATTGCTATGAAGTATGCAAATAAAGTATGAGAGAGAATATAAGAGCTACACAGTAAAGTATATAAAAACATCACAGTTTTCTTTTCAAAAGTACAGATTAATATATCTTTCAACTAAAACAGTATGAAATGGCACATAGTTAGAAGGTACAGGTCAAATATTTAAACTAAAAGTTCACACGTAGGATAAAAGACAATCTTGAAACATCAAATACTGAAAATAAATAGCTATTTGAACCAATGTTCTTGTTAGAAGATGATAGAGCCTTTTACCAGAAAATCTAAGCAATCACACATGTACAGTTCTGTACTAGCCTAATTCGGTATGCGGGGATGTGCCACTCTAATGGGTTACTTTTTTGCAAAAAATCCCTCAACACAGGGTTTGATTTTGTGCTGCTGGCAAAATCCCTAAAAGTGCCCACACTTTTCAAAACATGGGTTACAATGTGGTAGTATCTCTCTTTCCTTTCAAGTAGTACATGTTGGAGCGTATCTGTTTGTCGTATCATAATAATTATTGTGGTCAACTATTAAAGCACATGTTACTTGTCAATGCTTCTAAGACACTGAGGCGATACATTTTACGTCTAGATTTGATCCGCCTAATACACTACATTCTTTATTTGTCAATGTTGATGAAGTTTACATCCCGGGGAGGTGTTTCACAAAGACTAAGATCAACTTAAATATGGCAGGCCATTCATGCCACTGGTTGCTCTCACCATTGGTCTCTCAATTATGATCTTTAGATAATTTTTTTCCTTCAATAATGAACTATCCACAAAGCTGAAATCTGTAGATGTGTGACCATGATTTATACGTCCCTTGAGAAATCATTGCCAGTAAATGGTGAGAGCAAACATTGGCATGAATGGCCTGCCATAGTTAAGTCCAACTTAAAGTCAATCTTAGTCTTTGTGAAACACTCCCCTGCAGTCCAAAAAGCCAGCAACCTTGGTGTTATTATGGACAGGTATCTGTCAATGTCAGATCACATCATCAAGACTTGTCAATCAGCTGTCTAGGCCATTTTCAAAATTGGACAGATTAGGCATTATCTTAAACGTAAAACAATTGCAATCCTTGTTCACTCCTTGATCATATCCGATGTTGAT